GATTGTACATTGTACACCTACTCGCTTTTAACAATTCGACATTTGCTCCGTCGTGAGTCATGAATGACGTTAGCTTATCAATTTTTAATGATCGTTCTTGCAAAAATTGCAAAGTAATATATTTTTAAATTGCTATTCCTAATAAACGGACACACACAATTCTTTCCAATCAAAAAATCACAATTTCCAAAATTCAGTCAAACAAGTTTTCATGAACTATTTTTGCATCAAATCCCTTATATAATAAAGCACAAGTCACTACCATTACTTTACCACCAAATGATCATGTTGTGGAAGTTGTTTTCTTACTGTACAATAAGTTCACATCAAAATGTAGATTGAAAACATCCTTTGATCTACTATGGTGAACGCTTGAACGGTAATACTTTTTCTCTTTAATTTTAATGTCTCATATATTAAGTAATAAAAAATGCTTAATGTATGATTGTAGGGGCGAAAAGGGCATAAAGCACTAAGATGACTATGCCATGGGAAAATTGATTAAAGTCAAAGGATTAACAGAGATATACATTAGCAGGTTCATGTTTATATCACTGCAATACATAATGTTTCTTTTAGGTGTTTGAAGTACACATTGATAAAAATTTACTTCTTCAACTTTACTGCATTTTGGGACTGAAAGGAATAATAGAGAGAGATAAGATCAAATTCGCCAACGACTTTATACAGTAGAACCTCTATAAATTAATACTCGATAAATTAATAATCTCTATAAATTAATAAATTTTCTCGGTCCCGAATTGGCCAGTTCAAAATATGATATAAATCAATAAAATAATAAGATAATAACTTTTTAGAAAGTCCTGTGTAAATATATGGTTCCATTAAAATCATAAATTAATAATATATATATACACATTTCTTATAAGTATAACCTAAACTATATTGTTGATTTTATGTTCACAATGAAAATTCATGTATTATTTCTTAACATTTCAATATATTTTGATAATATTTAGTAAAATTATATCAAAAACCACATATAAATTATATGAAACATAAAAATATAAACTAAGTAATATAATAAAATAATAAGAAAGTCAAATTTCTAAAATTTTATGAATATATATACCGTAAAATAAAATATAATTTTATTTTATAAATAAAAATATTTAAAAAGATAAAAAAATTATAAAAGGGAACTTTTTGTAAATTAATATATCTATAAATTAATAAAATTTTAAAGTCCCAACATTATTAATTATAGAAATTTTACTGTATATTCTTAATGTTTGAAGCTTTTGCTCTCGATAAAAACATCTCCTTCACAAGTTGAAGTTATTTTATACATAACATTTGTAGTCATATAAAACTGAAATTGGTCTTTTTAGTGAAAAACTGTTACCATGCGAAGCATGGACTCAATACTAGTTAAATATAATTGCTAAGCCATACAGGTTTTTTTACAATTTGATACCTAGCAATAGAAGATAATTTCAGTCTAACAAACATAATAAAATATTAAGAGCACCCCCATTGAAGGTTCATGGGGGGAGTTCACACGGAAATCAAGAAAAAAAATAATAAAATAATAAAAACCTATGAATCCCTCTCTCCTAAAGTTCACCGCGGTGAACTCCTCTCTCCTGAAGTTCAACACGTGGTGACTCGGGATTGGTCTAGATTTTTTTTTTTTTTTTTTCTTTTTAAAAAAAAAATCAAAAAAAAAATAAAAAATTTTTAATAATAAAAAAATGATTCAATGAACCCCCAAGAGGGGGTTCATTGACGTGGATGCCCTAAGCTAGAGAGCACATTCAAGGCAAACACTTGTTAGATTAACACGGGCCTAGAGATGTCAAATAGATCGGTTGTCCCTAGGGGTTTAGGTTCAAAATACAATGTACTGATGATTATAGACAAATCTATATACGAAGCGGGCTAAATGGGTAAGTCCGATTTTGTTTTGGATGAAAAGCAAGTGACGCCATTTGATCAGTGGGCATCGCAGATAACTTAAATTCGTAACTCAAAATTGATCCGGAGGAAAGTCATCAGTGTGACCGTTTGGACATCAACGAACCATTTAGATATGAACAGCTCATCTGACACCTCTATATGGACCCAGAGACAACCCACTTGATCATGGGTATATTTGCGTTTGGTCATTTCTGGTCGTAGTTTTATTTGAGTTTGAATCATCAAAGTCCATATGATAAAATATCCACTTGGACAACCTCAACTGGAATATCCCATTGCATCTCTTGACGGACCAGATTCATCAACTGATGTGAGGAATTTGATATCAACGGGTTGACAATGAGGAGTACACAGCAATAATATTAATGTAACCTTCTGATTTTTACAATATGGTGGGGTTTGTGGAGAGTTTTTAAAATTGATTTTACTATCATTGTTATCAAAAATATATATAATTTTTTGGTCACTTGTCTAAGTAAATTTTTTAAGCCAAGTATGTTTTAACTAGGATAGTTGATGGGTAGATGATTTATTGAAAACTATTTTTTGATATCGTCTGAGTGAGAAAAACACTAATAATATGATATCTATATTATTAAAATTAAAGCATAAATAAAATTAACTTTGATTTCAACATGTTTATTACATCGTTTTTTTTCTTTTTTTCACTCATTTTAATTATTTTTGTTCAACATTTCTTATCTTTGTTCCCAGCTTTTCACTCTTATTTTAATTACTATCGGTGTTTTAACTATTGATTGTCTCGTTTTCTATTTTTTTGTTCATTTTTTTTGGTAGGAACATGGGAGATCAACTCCCAATAATCATTAAAACATCAAACGTCAATCTACATACCAAGTATGTCGTGGCCGTGGAGGTCCAAACGGAAGAAAAAAATGCAAGGTTAGCCAAACCATTAACTATGCGGTTTGCTTTCTTATACACATGAACAATTCTAACTAACCAATCTCTTGTTAAGAAGCTATGGCACAAACGTACTAGGAAGAACAGTCTATTTTTTTGTTCATTATAGTGGTTTTATTTCTTTCTACTGCTTGTTTCCTCGATAACTTTTGCTAAAAATTGATAAAAAGTATTACACAAAAAAAATAAACAGCTGAAGAAAACATTGTGACAGAGATAACGTATCAACCATAGTTGATGAATGAGGTGATAAGACTTGAATCAAAATACTTCAAGTACTTTAACTTTAAAATAAAAGCAGCCAAATCTTTCACGCATGTAAATTTCTCGCGGAAGATCAAGAAACGAGGAATATGCTATAAAGTAGGTCCTTCAAAAATGAAGTTTTCCACGTGCAGTCACCAGAATCGTTGATCAGTTATGTGACCTTCTCCGCTCCGCCTACCAACGAGAAAAGCCATATAATTATAAAACTAATTTTTCTTAAAGTTAATTAGTCGGCTCCACGGCAATCAGCAAACAGAAAATGACGTAGGCCGGTTGACGTCATCTCCCTGACGTCATTGCCTCCGACCATATTAAAGTTAGAGGCTAAAAAGTAAACAGCAAGTAAGATAGACTTAAAATCTCAACATGCAATTATATATCATAGCAACTATTACATTTTTTTGTCGACGCAACTTTTACATTTACATCTCGACATTGGTTTCTCGAATATTCGAAACTTTATATTGAAAAATTCAAAATATTGGTAACAAAAGGTGCACGTCCTACATGGATTTATAGGAAAAGTCTCACTTTACATGTTTCACAAGCTTTTGAGAATAGCTTAGAGCACTCCAATCAAAGATTCAGATGGGGATTCATACATTTTTCAAAAAAAATATTAAAATAAAAAATAGTGATTAACCTGTTTCTTGCAGGTTCTCCGCAGTGCACCCGATTCATCACTGTAGCGTGAACCCAACGATACGTGGCGATTCGTAATTGATTCTTTTTTTAAAAAGAAAATCTACAAAAAAAAATTTTAATAATAAAAAATTGAAAATTTGAATCCCAAAGAGTAGGTTCAGATGCTCTTAGATTTTAGTTAAAGAGAGTTCATTTAATTAACCACTGGCTAGAAAGGAAAAATTTATCAGTGATGGTAACAATTTATTAAATTTCTTTAACACATGATAGGTGTTTGTTTATATATTAATTTGGCGACGCATGCAAAGGTTGGTGTTTGACCATAGTTCTTTTCTTTTGAAGACTATTTGCAGTGCCCTATAAGGCAATGAGTATTACTTTTAAAATTAAAATAACAATCGAACTACTTCTCCTATAAGCATAAGATCCGTAAAAGATCTCCTTAAATGTTAAATTTATAATGTTATAATAGTGCAACGGTTGTCACTCTTTTGATTAGGCCAAAGTTCAAAAGACTAGGAAGAGATGTTCATATAGTTCATTTCATTTGCAGCATACAGATCCATGATTATAAACAAATTGTCAACTCGGAGAATAATATTTGCTGCAATTCGATACATGTAACAGTATACTCATGAGTCATGATCCCTTTAAAACTGTATTTAAATCTTAACCACGTTCATGATTAATCAATATTACCATTTTTAGTGTACTGACAACATTATATTACATAAAGTATGCTGTATTGTATAAAACAGTTAAAAGCTTAAAATCATTAATATTGTAACCAGAGCTATTGGTTTTCGGTAAGATTTTGGAACAATCATCGATTGGTTTGCTTGCATGCTAAATCCACTCAGGATCTCGCTTTTATCAAAAGTGATTAACTGGTGTAACATTATTGTCAAGGGACCCGTGACCTTATACATGTAGCTATTTACTCGAGCATTTGATTAGCCAAGGTTCAAAGAAAATCTGTAAACCTTTAAGATGTGAAATAGTACTAAATAATAATACTAATAAAAAAAATCACTTGTCGTTGTAGCAATTCCATTCAAGAAGCTTCGTTGAATCTACGCATGAAAGTAGCCTTAAATATTATTTTATCCCTTATTTAAATGCAAGACACTTTGGTGATGTTAGATTTTGATGTATATATAAACAGTATATCTGCTTAACAAGATCCCTCTCCTCCTCTTAGTTCAACAACGCCAAAGCACTAAACAACAGTCTTGAAAGAAAATGAACTACCCTTCAAGCCCTAACCCTAATTTCATAGATTTCCCTGAAACTTTCACGTTCGATGATTATGATGATGCTTTTCAGATGATCATGGAACAAATTAGCCTCGAGGACCACTCGCCCAACTTGAGTTGGACTTCATCTGAGAAATTATTGGCTGCAGAAGTCACAAGCCCTCTTCAAACAAGCCTAGTTACGTCACCTATGAGCCTTGAAATGTAAGTCCGTTTTTTTCCTATCATACAGCTTTCATTACCTTATATGATAACAGTGATATATTTCAAACTATAATGATTTTATGTAGAGGGGACAAAACTGAGATTAAGAAGAGGAAGAGACACAAAGATGATCAGATTATTCACGTGTTTAAAACGAAATCTCTTGAAGAAAATATTGCTTTAGACGACGGATTTAAATGGAGGAAATACGGCAAGAAACCGATAAGGGGCAGTCCATTTCCGAGGTAACTGTTTTATATATAGTTGCGATGTATCCACTCGTACATGCTTATTATATTTAAAGTTTATGACGGCTTGGATAATAGGAGTTGCATCTTCCTTATGCTATAGTTTTGTGTTGGTTTGAGTGTCGCAATGAATATGTCCACTTCATAAATTAAGAAATTATGCATCTCTTAAAGTGTGTATTCTTAGTTAAGTGTCAAATAGCCAACTTGTTTACATGGTCGAGGCTCTGAGTTTTACAAGTTAATTACTGCTCTTTTTGCACTAGTAAGCCACCGCCGTGTGTCAAATATCAGACAAAACCTTGTTCATCGGTTTAGTAAGAAATAAAATAACACCAAAGTCTAGTAGTTTCAGTTTCTCTGTGTTACACATTTATTCATTGCAGAAATCACGCAACAGTTTGTATGAGCTTGTTTCTATCTGCAAATTCGATTATATAAATATGATAAGTTTCAATAGTCAGTATATTTAGACTTTAGAATTAGCATCCCTTTATGAGTTTCGACTAATAAGGTTTCTCTAACACTTTGCATGTTTAGGTAACGTATAATATATAATATGGTTAGTGTTCCTTCTTCAGAGGAGATGTTTCGTGTCCAAATGCATGTTTCTATATGTATGTTTATGTGTATAAAAGCCAACAAGCATATATATATATATATATATGTGCCATCAGCATATATATAATATATCTCGGTGTGTTGGTTTTTACTTTTATATATTCATGTGGACCATGTGTTCTAAATATACAATAAGTGTAAGGCATATACTATAAATATATTAAGGTCTACTGAATACAAACTAATTAACTTTTCAAGGACTAACTCTGTTAAATAAAAGATTTGTTCATATGCTCCAGATTTATGTCCACTCCGAACAAGTTGTTATTTAAGCTTATAACAATTAACACATGGGAATATCATATTTAAGTTCTTTGTTGTATGTTACCACTGATTTCAAGTGGACATATAAACGACGATATTGTTATCGTTAAGCTAACACTGGTTCTAGCTATTATTATTGGACCACACTATCTATTATATATAACTGACTATAAGCAACATTATATTACAAAAAATTTAGCAAAAAGAAAACATTATATTACAAATCATATAAAATCTGACAGAGTTTACTAAGTGATTTGTGTTAATTATTTGAAACAGGCATTATCATAAGTGTTCGAACCCCAATTGCATCGTGAAGAAGAAGATCGAGAGAGATACGAGCGATCCTGAATATGTGTTGACAACCTACGAAGGGAGACATAACCACCCAAGCCCTTCTGTGGTCTATTGTGATTCAGACGACTTTGATCTTACCTCTCTCAACATTTTGTCTTTTCAGACACGTACTTATAATTATTCACATTCAGCTCCATGACCGTACTTAAAATTTGTGCGTCCAGATGTGTATATAGTGTATATCATCATCGTAATCACGCATCATATGTATCCGCTTTTACCTTGTTGGGTCGGTTTTGTAATGTACTGAATTGGGGTGTGTGTGTGCTGGAAATCATCTTGTATCTGCAGGCAGTATAAGATAGTAAATGTTGTATGTAAATATAATAATAAATTAACTAATTTGTACATGATACTCTCTTGGTTCAGTTTACAAATGGCAAGTATCTTTATTCTTTAAGTTTGCAAATTGAGTATAAACCAACAAAAAAATGGTGTGGGTAATATATGTATGATACATATATTAAGATGAAGGAGTCGTCAAACCGTTGATTTCAAATCTACCAGAAATACTTTTATGTTGATCTTTTTAAGCGAAACTTCGGGAGTATGGTAGTTTGATGATAAGTGTGCTAGAAAATTGATTTCTAATTTTTTTTATTTGTTTATATATCTAACTTTCATACTAATGTCTACACCATCATATTGCTGCTTACAGGAAACATAATTGCAAGTATGAAACTAAGTTTGTACAGAAAGATTTAGCTTAACAAAAATATCATTTTAGGATCCTGATTGAAGATCTAACCCTGATGAGCTTCGTCTTATATCTTTTCTGGTTACATATTCCCTACATGCAAGTCTGGTTATGGCATAAGGGTGCATTTGTACTAGGTCTATAAACATACTTTTGGGGGCTTTTTAAAGTTGTTTATTTTTTGCAAATTCTCTTTATTATTCTTGCAAATCTAAAACCAATGCATAAGGCCCACCAATAATAATGAATCGGGCCTGCGAACATGCTAATTATAAAAAGATGGTGTGCTATTGTTTCCCTCCAAGAGGAAAGCAAGAGAAGATAAATACAACAGATTTGATGCAAAACAAACAAATATCGTGCGTATGAAGACATAAATAAAATCAACATGGGAATGAAAATATGAAATCAGCGTTCTAATAAAATATTATATATATAAACAGTAATCCTAAGTTCTAAATCGTAGAAATTTGCTTCAGTAATCAATTAATCTATGAATCACTTACCGATGATACATATGTTCCACGATATATGACACCGACACAGAGAGCTTCTACTCTATTAAAATAGAGTCATTCTTTTTATCTACTAATACAAGTTGTCATTTAACTTTAGACTTTTTCTAGAATGTTACGAATAATACAAAACATATAGTTAATTGAACCGTATTACTTAAATTAAATCAGTGGTTATTTATGAGATATAGTCTTGGGCTTCTTTTTGTTTTTAAAACAAATTATATGGTTTGTTTTTTAAGCTTAGTATTAATGAAAATTCCAAAAAACATTGAATAAACGTTCCACCTTACTAGATCAAAAAATCAATTATTATTTTCAGGCCCAAAATTTAATATTTTTAACAAAACAAAATTATCTATTATTAATCATTTATTTAAATCATATACTTTAAAACATGTTAATGTATTTTTTATTTTAAATAACAATCACTTTTTTGATAAATTTCAATGGTAAATTTTAAATAATTTATTCTTTTATTTTTCTTAAATAATTTATAGATTTAAAAAATAATATGTAAAGCAAAACCAAAAACTAACTCTAAAAACTAAAATCCAAACCAAAAACTGAAAACGCTTGTTATATTTTTTGCTTTTGTTTATTTACAAAATAAACTATTGCAAATTTTTTTAAAAAAATTTGTCATATTTTCAGCTTCAAATTAGATGTTTGATTATTTGAGATTTGTTTGTTGGTAATATCAGTTCAAACTAACTCAGCGGGTCTAAAACTAAAAAACTCAAACCAAAACCTGAAAATCAAAAATATAAACTTAAAACTCAAAACCAAAATTTTAAAACAAAATCTAAAATTAAAAAAATGAAACTAAAAACTAATGAAAAACAATCATCACCACAAACTTTGGTGAATTGATTTTATACCAAAAAAATTATTTAAATTAAGACAAAACCCAATTATATAAATTTTTAATCATAAAAAATTTCCGCGCTTTCAAGCGCGGGTCAAAATCTAGTATTCCTTTAAAAAAAAAGATTTGGGTATTCCAGAACTATAGAAGGATCTAAACTAATTTCTAAAATTTTATTTTCATTGATAGATCCAATCTACAGGTATTTCAATAGATCACCAGTAGTATTAGGGTGCTCATGTGCAGGGGCACGGATATAGAAAATAATTTTACATGAGGCACATTATATATATATATATATATATATATATATATATATATTTATACTAGGTGATTTTCCCGTGCTCATGCACGGATATGAATATTCATAAAAGTAAAATTTTATAATAACTGATTGATATTTAATTTTAGTTTTGAAGCAATTTATATGTATAATTTATATTAATAAATTTTATATTATTCTAGTTATACATATGACTTTAGATATATTATTGTTGGTTTAGTTACTTTTTGGATCAATAGTCGGTTTGGTTATCAATTCGGTATAATTGATAATATCTATTTTTTCGAATTCAGCTATAATATTTTGTATTCTAAATATAATAAAATTTTGATTAATTTTCTTATTTTAATTTTGGTTGGTTATTGTATTTGGATATGTAATTTTTTGACCAAAAAGATATGTAAATATATTCTTAGATATGTAAATATATTATAGTTAAATTATGTATAACTTAATATATATTGTGTTTAAAAAGAAATAAATAATAAGCTGCAGTGTTTGATTCAAAATTACATAAATGAATATAATGATAATATTTTGAAATCTCATGCATATATATAAATGCTAAAAAGAATCAAATTGTAATGGGTTAATATTTCTTTTTCTTTTTAATATGCTTTAAGTCAACCTCTAATTTATATGTATAAATTTAAATAGATTATTATTATTATTATTATTATTATAAAATTATATGTTCTTATTGTAGTTAGATGTCTAATTTTGAATATAAATTAGATTAGTCGAGTCATTCATTTTGTGAGTTTATTGAGTTAAACATATTTTTAAATTAAAATTGAAGTATAGTTACTTTTTATTTTAGTTAAGTCAAATCAAGTTAGTTTTATTTATTGCTTAAATATACATGTATTTTCATAATATTTATTTACTCTTTATTTTAGTTAAATCAAATCAAATTAGTTTTATTTATCGCTTAAGTATACATGTATTTTCATAATATTTATCAAATTATATGTGATTTCTAAAAAATATTAGAAAATAAAGTGTAACTGATGAATTTTTGGATGTTCATGCACATATATATTTTTATTATTTTGAAAATATATTTTATGTTATTAATGGGGATATTACTATTTTGTGAGTTTTCCTTTTCAATAAAGTCATATTATATACATGTATATTCGTTTTTAATTTTTTAAAAAAGTTTATAAATATTTCCTTTTTATTATATATGTTATTTGGAAAAAGGTAAAAAGAAACTAAATAAAAAAATAATCTTAAAATCTAAAAATTCATTAAGGGTATCCAAGTAATTAACCATCACGAGAGTTAACGTGAGCGCGACACGTAGGAAACTGACTTCTCAAATAATATTATAGAGATATATATAATTTAATTAATTAAAATATAATTTTATAGTCATTAAAAATCACATTTTATTTTTGATATAGGTCGAATAAAAGAAATATTTTATAATTTAAAATATTAATTTTAAGTACTTTTATAAAATTTATATATTCACATAATAATTTCATTATAAAAATATAGTTTTAATCTAAATATTAATTGAAAAAACTTAATAATATAATTACTTGATTATTTGTGACTTTTGTATTTAGCTTTGCTATTTCTTAAGTTTTAAGATAATTCCCTTTGTTTTTGTTGATTCAGAAGTTTTATGTTAAAGAAAAAGAAAGAAAACAAAACAACTATTAATAAAAGAAACTTTTAGAAAAAAAAAGAAAAAAAGTGATAAGCCCTTTATCAAAAAAAAAAAAGTGATCAAGATGTATTGTGAAAATTTGAAAGAACAAATTCACGAATCATTCAAGCACTCGAATTTTAATTAGGGGTGGCACAGTTAAGCATTAAAACCAAATAGTTAAGAATTTGTATATGTTAATTAGTTAGCACAAAAAAAATATATCTTTTAGTGTGGGGTATGTGCCACAAAACTATTTTTTCTGTTTTTTATCATCCAAGCATGACCCATCCATGCTTGGGTCCACCCCTACTCACCCCTACTCACGTGATTAGATACCTAGATTAATTAACAGCCCAAAAAAGGTATGCCACAAAACTATTTTTTTCTGTTTTTTATCATTTGTTAAGTTTTTATGCTCCTGATACATTTTTATGGGGTAAATTTGTAGAATAATCATAGTGGAATAAAAGTTCAAAATATAGGCATACAGTTACTCTAATATCTCTGATAATTTGGCATGAAAATGGCAAAATTCTTTTTTCTCCACGCGTGACATTTTATCAAAGCAATTGTGTGATATTATTACAACACCCCGATCCGGTCACCTAAGCCACGACCGAAGCATCACGTCGCTCAGTCCACTTCATGACCAACGTTATAAATTTTTTGTCATTCATTTAAAATTTTTTCATTTTTTTGTCATTGAAGATATAAAATCAACATAATGTTATCCAAGACAACAGTCTTGATACCCAAAATAAATGAAAGGACAAACCAACACTAGTAGGTGAGGATCAAACAAAGAGACCCAATAACACGGGAAAGGGAAGAAGTGTCGAGGCACTCAGCCTGAAGTAACAATCAATGGAAGAAAAAAAAGAACCTCATACTCTCAAAGATGGTAAGGAGTAACTAGCCTCAACTTGAATGGTATTGGCTAACCAGCTTGGTCCGCCCCTGGGCACATAAGATTGATACCTTCTATCTTTCGTGACACTTACTGCAATCTCTTTTGCAACCCGATTAGTTTTATCTTCCACAACTTCCAAGTGACAGACTTGAAACTTTTCCAATAAAGCAGATGTATTGTTTACCACATTGGAGAGATGAGGAAATGACCCTTGGTTTTGCAAGGCCTCTAAAGCTTGTGCTGATGACATTTCCATAAGCACTCTGTTCCAATGGAGAGACTGTAGATCTTTTGCAGTTCATCCAATTACTTCCAGTTCAGATTCTAACCTTGACTGTATACCCGTGAAAGCCCGA